GGGGGGGGCATCCGTCAACCCGGGGGGGGGGGAGCATCCGTCCACGATGGTGTAGGCTTCGCTAGACGAAATCACAAGTCCGGGAATAAAAATTTTTTAGGCGGATAAGTTGGATCCCTGGACAGAAAATCCCATCTCTCCACGATTCTAGGTGAATCTGCAATGTATCATCCTTTGTGCATCCTTCGGCACCAGTAGCGTCACAGTTTCTCTGAGTTTTCATTAAGCTAATGTCATACTTCCTACGGGACTCCATTTCCGGGGCTGAACTCAAGAGTTTCCAATTCTCTTAGATGAGCTGCCATCCGACCTTAAGATTCATACGTTGATAAAGATGTCCCTATCAGATGTTGTCCTTCCGCTGGTGGTAGACAATCTATGGTATTTACATTCTAAGCAGTAAGTCTTTGGGCTTGTTTTTCTTTAGACGTAAACATGTTCAACTGTCCCACCCTTAATAGCGTTAGTGAATACAATTAAATGACGGCCTTGTTGTAGGTTTCACGTCAACAAAACGCACGTCCTTCTTTTCTTCGACCTTTCTTGAGGTCAAACATCTAGACTTAATACCAGGGCTCTCGTGTCCCTTCAGCCCGCTGTGGCTGTGGCTGTGGCTGTGGCAGTGTCTGGAGCAGGGGTGGCCAGACCTGTAGTAACTGAGAGCCATTTTTAAAATAAAAAAAATTCTTGAGAGCCGCTTTGAAGCACTATGGGTCACGACCCCACTCGCAATGAAAAATTCCTTTTGGGATTTATTTTTAAAAATTACTTTTTATTCGAATTTAATGATTTAAACATTTCAGCTGTTTTAACCCTAACCGTATGTTGAAGAAATATATGCGTTACGGTAACACAAGTGAATAAATATATGCGTTACAGTTACACAATTAACAAATATTTAAATATATAAAATTTATGAATAGAAAAACACTGCATATATACTCATAATTATAGTGAACATTAATTGTCATGATTCTGCTGAGAAGCATTTGAACTAGCAAGTTTCTTTAAATCTGATTGGTAGCTAGTAGTTGTGGTGCGAAGATGTTCTGTCAGATGCTGGTTACTAGTTACTGCTCGATGCTTTGATTTTATGAACTTCCTGTGGAATTATTTACAACCCTTTGTCTCAGTCAAGATTTTTTAACGTTCATTTATTTTTTATATTATATATTATTTCAAACGAAAAGTTTTAATTTCATAAATTGTTCGCGAGCCGCAATGTAAACACAGAAAAGCCGCATGCGGCTCGCGAGTCGCAGTCTTGCCACCGTTGGTCTAGAGGCTACAGCGTTCAGCGTTCATTGGTGACGAATGTATGTGCCGACTGGTTTGTGTCGAGACATGGCTCTAAAGGAGTCATGGCGTTTAAAAGATGATGGACGATAACAAATGAACTCAACTGTTAATAGTTTTATTGACGAAATCAGTTTGTCATAGATCTCAAGACTGTTTATACAGTACACTATTTATAAATAGCAACGAACGCGCTCAGCATAAATTACAACTACGTACATGCCTTTCAAACACACACACGCAGCCCAACGCTTTCAGTCGTACACATCAAGCCGTACCCATCAAGCCGTACACATCCATCGTACCCATCAAACCGTACACGTGCTGTTGCATCTGGCCGTAGACATCAAAGCGTCCACGTCAAGCCGTACCCATCAAGCCGTACACATCCATCGTGCACATCAAGCAGTACACGTGCTATTGCATCTGGCCGGAGACATCAAAGCGTACACGTCAAGCCGTACACATCAAGCCGTGCACATCCATCGTACACATCACACGGTGCTCACGCATACCTACAAATTAGTGGAACTCATGAATCTATGCACATCTAGCCGTACACATGTTTTACACATCAGGCAGGTCACGTCAAATCGTTCAGCCCTAAAAAATTAGCCGCACACATGCAGCCGTCCACATCCAGGCGTACACATCCAGCCGTCCATATCCAGCTGTACACATCCATAAACCATCACCACACGCCAAGCATAAAAGTTAAGTACACATATTTCAAGACGTAAAACTGTTGACTAGAACATCGTGGTTTGACCTCCTAAATTTCAACCTGCGACCCAGCCCAAAGACTTAAACACAAAAGAGCAAGTTCTAAACTGAAGGGGTCACCGCGCAATTTAATCCTTAACATGAAAATAAAAAAATAAAAAATTATAATTCTCTAGGTCCGTATGCATGACTGTGGCACTGGGTCAGTTCTCAGACGTTAGAACTAAATTCTGGATTCTTATGAAGAGCGTTACCTGACAATGCATGTTTTGTCGCGTAACTTTAGTACATTGGAAGTCCAACCATTGTCGCCATTATTATTTGACGGGCTATTTCTAGTATTTGGTATTTTACAAATATATCTCTTCAATCCCCTATAGTGAGCCTAGTACACTACGCATGGTGCTATTTAAAGGAACATCTCCGTCTTCATAAAAATTAAATTGACCTTTTTTTTGTCTCTGTCATTATAACCAAAAAAATGCTCTATTGGCTAACGCTATGTCAATATACCACATCGAATGTAAGGTAAAACACTAATCATTTTGATTTACCAACGCTCAATTCATTTCATAAGAAAATGTGAAGTTATATTACATAGCCTATAGTTAAATTTCGCAGACGGAATGATGCGTGTTATAAACACTGTAACTTCACGCGAAACCAACGTTACGCGACCTCCAGATCGAGTTCCATGGTGTCATCCCTGCAGTCCCCCTCGTCCCAATCACCGTCTCCGCTGCGGTGTCCTGGGCTTTGGTCTGCCTCCCGACCTTGACCTTCCTCCTCTCCGCGGCTGCTGTTGTTATTGCGATCACTCACCACGCTGAGGTTGATGGCCTTGACCCCTACGAAGTCGTGCTCCATGACATCCCGGTCCGCGCCCTCCTTCGTATCACATCTGTTATAATCGTCGCCATCACATCTCGGGGTCAACCCGTCGTACCTGTCTGTATGCCGTCCCTGTTCTTCCCTGTCAGAGTCGAACATGTCAGTCCGTTCGGCCGCGGCTCGATCAGATTCCGTTTTGAAGGAATGGCCGAAGAGTGAGTCCGTTGTTTTGTCTCTTGCGGCCCCTAATGATTTTGTTCTACCGGGGCCGAAAAAATGGTCCTCACGCGAGTTGCCGTCGCTGCTGGACTCCAACTCCTCGCGTTCCGGTGACTCCAGCAACGGAGTCAGCGGGCTGCTCTCCCTGTGCGTCACCTGCTGCACGAGGAACCCCATCGGCTGCGTGATCGGGAAGAAAGGGAGCAGTCCTAAACTCAGGGTGCCTAGAGATTTGCACGCCTGGACCAGTGGGTATTTAGAGTTCGGTCGCCTCCCCCTTGGAACTTTCGGCGCCTCCAGCAGGCGCTCGATGCTGAAAGCACAGGATTTGGCGTTGTTCGTATTCGAAGGGTTCTCGTGAGCCCTGGGCGGGTGGCTCAGCATCGAGGAGACCGACATGATCGAGCTGGCCGCTAGGTGGCGGTCGGCTCTGTCCGTCATGTGATCGGCGAGGCTATCACAGCTGGCGTCGTTGCCGGACATTGATGACGTGGAGGACAGGAAGTTGTCCACGTTAAGCCGCATGGCTCGGCTCTTGCGGTCTTCCATGGACATCGCGGACCCGTGGACGCCGCTCAAGACCTTCCTCTTCTCTTCCAGCTTCCTCAGCCGTTCCTCTTGCTTCCTCCGCTTCTTCTCGAGCCTCTCTTGTTCTCGCCTCCGTATCTCCTCCTCGTCCATGGGATCACCGCTGCAAGTTTGAGGATGTGCGTTGTGGGCCGGTCTTCCTGGTCCTTTCTTGGTGTGCTCCTTCTTTCTCCATTTTGCTCGTCGGTTTTGAAACCACACCTGTTGGGAAAAAACAGTGTGAGATTTGAAATTAGACCAGGCTTATTTGGAAAGTCAGTGTGAGATTTGAAATTAAACCAGACTTATTTGAAAAGACAAAGTCAGATTTGAAATTTTATTTTCGAACCAATTTGGTTGACTACAACCTGATTGGGTTGGTTGAATTGGGCTGATGAGGTGAAATGGTCTTTTCAAGGATATGTGTTATGAAAAAACAAGTAGCAACAACTGATATCATTTACATTGGGTTCGGATGCGTAGTATAAACATTTTAATTAGAAGAACCAGAACAGACTCATAACTGGTCTATAAGAATTTGTTTACTGGAATTGATTAATTCTCACTTATCGATTTTTAGTCATAATTATTGGAAACATTGAATATTTTTTTTTACCGATTCGATTTTTTTGATAATTTAAACTTAATTTTTTTTTTTTTTTTAATTTTTTTTTTAATATTAATATAAGTTGGATGAACTTGGAGAAGAAAAGCAAGAACTCCGTTCGAACAAAAATCGAATGCTCTGTTCTCACTCAAGAACTCAACAGTCATTCTTACCGCACAATGACATGCCGAATATTTTGCTATAGACTAATTTTAAGGAACAATGGGAAACTCAACCATTTTCAGGATTGAAAAAATATGTACGATGAATGAAAAAACATATTTCCATTTATTTGGATCAAAAAAAATATCTTATCTTATCTTATCTTATAAAGTTGATAGAAAATTAATCGTAATGGGCATTTTCTTCAAGTTTTTACCTAGATCTATAATCATATTGTGTATCTTATTTTTGTTCATTTATTTCTCCACCACTACGCCCACTGTCTGCTTATTTATTTCTCCGTTACTCCGCCAATTGCCTGTTTATTTATTTCTCCGCTACTCCGCCCACTGTCTGTTCAATTATTTCTCTGTCACTCTACCCACTGTCTATTTATTTATTTCTCCGTCACTCCGCCCACTGTATGTTTATTTATTTCTCCGTCACTCCGCCCACCGCTAAATTATTTCTCCGTCACTCCGCCCATATGTTCATTCTTAAAGAGCACACCAAGAGTTGCATATTTCCTCATTGTCCAATCCTGTCATATAGTACATTGCGTTAAAAAATAAATTTGACGAAAATTTCATCGTGTGACCGTGTGAACTGAAAAAAAAATTCGACCAAACATCCATTCGACCAAACTTCCGTTCGCTCAAATATCCGTTCGGAAAGAAAAAAAAGAAGGAAAAAAAAAGGAAAAAAAAAGAAGGAAAGAAGAAGAAGAAAAAAAACCTCCGTCGATCAATTTTCCGTCCAGGAAGTTTCTTTCAAATAAATTTCCGGACACGCTCCAAATATGAACATATATACTTGTTCATTTCAGTCTTTACTCAAAAATAAAAATAAAAAGCAATGCTCAAGCAAAAAAAAATTATTATTTTTTTTTTTTTTTGAAGTTTCAAGGGAAAACATTTGTTTTTCTAACTGTCCCATAATACATGTCAATCCACCCCACTCCCTCATCCCTACCTCTAAAAATAATAAAATTATAATAATCAAATGATGCTACCAATGGGTCGTACTCAGAGGACCTCCTAAAGATCATTATCAGATAAGTGCCCACTAGATGACATCATATCAGATACGGGGTGAACTGCTCTCCTGGAAGTTCTTCTTGGTTATGATACGTTATTGTATAATAGTATGTGAATGTTTAATAGTATGTGATTGTATAATCGTATGTGATTGCATAAAAGTATATGATTGTATAATAGTATGTGATTGTATAATAGTATGCGATTGTATAGTAGTATGTGATTGTATAATAGTATGAGATTGTATAATATTATGTGATTAGGCAATAGTATGTGACTGTATAATAGTATGAAATTGTATAATAATATGTGATTTTATAAAAGTATGCGATTGTATAACAGTATGTGATTGTATAATAGTATTTGATTGTATAATAGTATGTTATTGTACAATAGTATGTAATTCCATAAGAATATGTGATGTTTTAATGATGTATTTTAAGAATGATATGTGGTTTCTATATTGTTTGATTCTATAAAGATGTATTAGTCGATATTGATGTTTGAGTCTAGGATGGTGTGTGTGAGTTTAGATGATTTAAAATTAAAGAGAACTTAATGGTGTGATATGTGGCACATCCATTATTTGAATCGCTCGTTAACTGTTATGTTTAACATTGAAAGATGGCGGGCATACAAGACAGACTACGATTGCCGTTGGAAGAATGCAACAAACGTTAGTTATAGCCGTACGAACTTTAGTTGTGGCCGTACGAACTTTAGTTATAGCCGTACGAACTTTAGTTATAGCCGTACGAACTTTAGTTGTGGCCGTACGAACTTTAGTTATAGCCGTACGAACTTTAGTTGTGGCCGTACGAACTTTAGTTATAGCTGTACAAACTTTAGTTATAGCTGCACGAACTTTAGTTATAGCTGTACGAGCTTAAGCTATAGATGTACAAGCTTTTTGTTATAGATTTACGAACTTTAGTTATAGCTATGTACAATTGCTAGCTGTTTTTTTTTTTAAGTAAATTACTTGAAATCAATTGACATGGAAATTTCGTAAGTTAAAACTATATTAACGTCTTAAAGCTAACTTAACCTACAGTAACGTCTTCAAGCTAACAGTTGAAAACATTGTTGAAGAGAGAAAGAATGAAAAGAACATTGGCGTGTATTGCAAATCTATTTTCTGTCTAAATGCTAAAATAAATTGCTGCCTCAAACATTTGCTATACAGTTTAATACTCTCAACTGTAATATTTGATTTGAGATCTATAATTAAAATTTATTTGATATCCAAAAAGGAGCCATGAACTTGATATTAAAATTCACTAATGCTTTGATTTCCTAACCGATAATTCAATTGATATCTAATCCCACAATTCTTATGATATAAGAAAACAACGTGACACCCCAGCTGTGAGGTCTCAATACCCCTGAATTTTTTCCAAGAAGAAACCAAATAGTCGGGGTTTTTTGTTCATGCTTACACGTGAATGAATTCTTCTAAAGATTAATATTTGAATGTGAAGACTAGATGGAACTGATACGTGAGCACGCTAAAACAGGATGTAGCGTTATTTTGCTGGCAAGGGATGGGGGCAGTGGGGGGGGGGGGGGGGGGAAGGATAATTTCTAGTGGGAAATGAAGGATAAGTTCTAGTGGGAAATGAAGGATAATTTCTAGTGGGAAATGAAGGATAAGTTCTAGTGGGAAATGAAGGATAATTTCTAGTGGGAAATGAAGGATAAGTTCTAGTGGGAAATGAAGGATAATTTCTAGTGGGAAATGAAGGATAATTTCTAGTGGGAAATGAAGGATAATTTCTAGTGGGAAATGAAGGATAAGTTCTAGTGGGAAATGAAGGATAATTTCTAGTGGGAAATGAAGGATAAGTTCTAGTGGGAAATGAAGGATAAGTTCTCATGGAAAATAAAGGATAAGTTTTCGTGGGACTTGCAGGATAAGTTATCGTGGGAAATGAAGGATTAGTTCTTGTGGGAAATGAAGGATAAGTTCTAATGGGAAATTAAGGATAAGTTCTCGTGGAAAATAAAGGATAAGTTCTGGTGGGGGTTAAGGATAAGTTCTCATGAGAAATGATAGATAAGTTCTAGTGGGAAATGAAGGATAAATTCTAATGGGAAATGAAGGATAAGTTCTCGTGGAAAATAAATGATAAGTTATGGTGGGGGTTAAGGATAAGTTCTCATGAGAAATGATGGATACGTTCTAACGGGAAATGAAGGATAAGTTCTAGCGGGAGATGAAGGATAAGTTCTAACGGGAAATGAAGGCTAAGTCCTAGTGGGAAAGGTTCGAAAACAACTCAGAAGCGTGTATATTATAGTTCTATAATTGGGGAAAAGAAAGAAGAGACAAATTTTTTTAAAGTGAAGAAAGAGCGATCGTAGTGCCAGGAGAGGCCTACACCGGTCTATTTCATTGATGAATAGTGAAAACTTACTTGTAGACCAGAATAATGGCGCACGGAAATTCGGGAACTTTGATTGTGTTTATGTGGATATGGGGTATGTTCACGAAGGGAAAAACATATTTATCTCCGGGGAGAAAAGAGCATGAATGAGATGGTGCATATCATTTCCGCTTTCATATCATTGGTGGTTGTCATGGTTTTGGCTGAGTAAACATGGATCGAATGACGTCGCCGGGAATGGAGAGAAAAGAAATTATTCCGAGTAAAGGTATAAAATTTATTTTAAAAACTATATTATTGGGTCTGTTTTAATTAAACTATACTTAATGTTGTGGAATCGAGTTTAGAAACAGCATACATGATTTTGGAACCAGCCCGAATTGGTAAAAGTAGGCGGCAACCACGGGCAAGCTACTCTGTTTGACAAAAATTTGAACGTTCCCCATTGGGAAAGGTGCATGAGTTTTTTTTTGTGTTTTTGTTTGTTTGTTGTTGTTTTGTTTTGTTTTTTTTTTTGTTTTTTTTGTTGTTTTTTTTTTTGGGGGGGGGGTATATTTTATTGCAAAACAGGGGGAGAAAATTTAAAGAAATTATAGTGAGAGAACAAGATGCCAGGGGGGATTTTTTTTTTTTTTTTTTTTGTTGTTTTTTTTTTTGGGGGGGGGGTATATTTCATAGCAAAACAGGAGGAGAAAATTTACAGAAATTATAGTGAGAGAACAAGATGCCAGGTGGGCCAATCATCAATCTGACTCACCTGAACTCTGCTTTCCACCAGGTCTAGTTTCAGGGCCAGAGCCTCTCTCATGAAGACGTCCGGGTAGTGTGAGTCTTGAAACGCCTTCTCCAGCTCCTCCAGCTGCCATCCGGTGAAATTCGTCCGTGTCCGGCGTCGCTTGCTGCCATTTGGATCTTTACTGTCATCGGTGCCACCTGGGGGGAATGTCCTGACATGGTCAGTCACCAGTGCTTTGGGGGGTGGGGGGTGTCCTGACATGGTCAGTCACCAGTGCTTTGGGGGGGGCGCAGAGCCGTTCTTAGGAGTTTGGGGGCCCTAAGCATGGAGCGTAGGTTGGGAGCCCCGGAAGGCAGGAGCTCCCTCGAGCTGAGGAGAAAACACCACCCACCACTGCGGCAGCTCCATTCTGCCTCCATCAATGTTTCCTCTTTGCTCGCGTGTAACCACTAACCATATTGATAATTCCGCCACTAGAGAAAATGTGTACTTCTGAAATATATGGACATGCAGGTAGTAGTGGGGCCCTAGGCGCTTGCCTAGTTTGCCTATATTCCTAGGAATGGCCCTGGTGGCACTTATTTCCTTATTTTGAGGAAGGAGATGGCCCCCGGCTATCAATAATTTGTTGGTGTGTGCAACATTGCTATATCCCTTAGGTGTTAAGCGGCCCTGCGGGGGCCCCCTCACGTTCGGGGCCCTACGCAGATGCGTAGTCAGCGTATGCCTAAGAACAGGCCTGGGAGGTGGAGATGTCCTGAAATGGTTAGTCACCAGTGCTTTTGGGGGGGGGGGATGTTCTGACATGATCTGGTATCACTCACCTGGCGATCTATGTCATTGATTTATGTAACAACTTAATGAATTGTTGTTGTTGTTTTTAATATAGTTGAACCATTTAATATAGTTGAACCATTTACTATAGTTGAACAATTTATATAGTTGAAACATTCACTATAGTTGAACCATTCAATAGATTTGAACCATTCAATATATTTGAACCATTCATTATAGTTGAACCACTCAATATAGTTGAACGATTTAATATAGTTGAACCATTCAATATAGTTGAAAACATTTAATATAGTTGAACCATTCAATATAATTGAACCATTCAATATAGTTGAACCATTTAATATAGTACACTGAGCGTTGGTCCGTCTTTGCTTTTCATGTAACAGTTTTTTTAACTACGCCATAATCTTTTTCTTTTTTTTTTTTGAAACACCATTTTTTGTTTTTTTTTGTTATTAGAAAGAACTTGGTGTATTTTATATTTTGATACGAGCACAATCAGTTCCATCGACTAAACGATATTGTGGTTGATTTAAAGTCAAATACCTAAAAAGACGTTTGAATCAGGTCGAATAAACTCAATTCGCTGGAAACGACGTATTTGACACCTTTCGTTGGGACACACAAAGTAGAACCATAAACTCAGTTCTCTGGAAACGACGTATTTGACACCTTTCATTGGGACACACAAAGTAGAGCCATTCTGCTTCACCCGCAGCCAAGGACAAACGCGCAAGGTCAAGAAAGGTCCAGAAAGTTTGTTTTTTTTTTTAAGATATTATACGACATGACATTATCATACTGCCAGATGTGTGAGTTTCCATTTCCCTTTAACGTTAACACTTTAATTTATGATTGTGATATGACCCTCCCCCCCCCCCCCCCCCCCCACAAAGTCCCTTGCAAATAAATCCCGCGGAAGCCCATGTACTTGTTTGATTACTCACCGTATTTTACGGATTATAAGACGCGCCTTAATTTTGAAGCATTTTTATTTATTTTTTTAAATAACATTTTTTTCCATTTTTATATTAATTTCGAGTATAAGACGCACCTGAAATTTTGGAGGCAATTTTTCGAAGAAAAAAAAAGTTACGTCTTACAGTCCATAAAATACGGTAATTCAAAGTTCGCAAGTAGATATCCCGTTATTATCCTCACGATATCTTCATTTCAAACCCATCATTCACCTTGCACTCCAAACATTGAAGAAACTTCATTTTTCAAATAAAACCAACGATGAAAATAATCCAACATTTTCTGCCTTTAAAGACATTATTCAGGATTTTTTTAGTTAAAAACGATTAACATGTTGACATTTAGCGTGAAGTAATTTTGATCTAATATATGTGTGTGTTCTATAAGGGTCTTAAATTTATGTTTGAGTTTAGACCCCAAAAAGCGGGGGGGGGGGGGGCGCTAGTAAAAAAAATAATTGTATACTAAATTGATAGTTTTATTGTACATGGTGTGTATAGCAATGTCCTGATCAAATCGATGATAGGACATTTGTCTTAATTTATTGTGTGTATTTAAATACTCAGTTTAGTTGCAACATTTGTACTACTATCGTTTTTAAGCTGATGATCTGAAAATAATTTCAGTTTCCTGTCGGATATTTCACTGTTAGTATCCACTGACATTTTTAGTTCATAATTCGATATTACGTTGCCTGCATTTATTTTTTAAAACTAATTTATTACCGTGGCGTTTATTACGTCTTGTGTGTGTGTGTTGGGGGGGGGGGGTGAAATGTTTAAATACTTTCAAAGACTTCAGACACTCTTTAGAGGTTCGATTTGAAACCAGCGTCTTGCCCCGAACATATATTTTTAAGAGTACTTCTAAAAAATAGCTTCAGCATGATAACTCTAATATAAAATTAAAAATTATAGACAAAAATTGGAAAAATGGTCAAAAATGCCAAAATAATAAACTGTCTACTTGACCTACCTGACGAGTTGAGCGAGTCCCCGAGCTTGGTGTGGTCGGGGGAATCAAGGAAGGAGAACGAGCTCATGTCGGGCGACAGCCTCTGGGGGGTCTTCCTGTCCCCCATCAGCCCCTCCATGACGCTGCCGCCGTGGGACACCCCTGAGCCCACCGAGGCGGCCACAGCTGCCGCCATAGCCGAGGCTGTGACCTGACTTCTCCCCGACGACTCCTCCTGCAGCATGCGGTGGTGGTGCCTCACCGAACAGTCCAGGGCGGCGATCTGGTCGGCCTGCGTCTGACCGTAAGGGAACGGTGGGAAGCCCATGGGGTACCCGTGGTGGTAGTTGACGGCCGCCATGGAGGAGACGGCGGCGAAAGCTCCGGGGTAGGCAGCGGCCAGAAGACGCATGTCGCGGAGACTCATTTGAAAGACGTCCGTTGTGCTGGTTTTAAGATCTATAACAAAATAGGCATTCAAGTTTTCCCGTAGACCCCCTTCTCAATGGTCAGCTACATCACTCTCGTTTGACCAAGTCCGGATTTTAAAAAAAAAAACAATTCTTACAAAAATTACTTTGTGGAGACATGCGCACAAAATATAACCATGTAACGAAATTATGATAAATTGTCCAAAACTCAAATACTCTCAAATCAACATTTCTTAGCTGTAATCGATTTAAACGCGCGAGAGAAAAAGCGTTGTCTGCTGGTCAGGTTAAAGTAACTGACCGCGTGGGGATTGTTACACTACTCAAGACACAACTTTTGTAACGAATGAAATCATCTCACATTTGATGATTATTTTGTCTAATGACGTCGAACTTGCTGTCTTCGCTCCCTGGCGTCCAAGTGTTGTTGTCTGGGGGCCTCTATTGAATTAGTATCCCAAGAAAACACCGGTAACTCCAAGCACGCCTCGACAAATTTTCATGAAATTTTGGGGGGGACAAACACGTCCCCAATAACAAGCGGACGTCAGTTATCCCCCCCCCCCAACCACAAACCTTTTCGGCGGCTACCGGCGGCTGGTTCGTCCAATCAGAGCTCGCTGTATCGATTGGTCTTACAGATAATCGGCCCCGCCCCTTTCGGCTAGTTTTGTCTTTAACCACAGCAAAATGAGCAGGATAATGGCCTGGCCCCCCCCCCCCCTCGGGGGCTTTGAAGGGATGACAGACGTCTGTCTAACGGTGCTCTCCCTCCTTTCTCCGTGTATCATGGACAGCCCCCCCCCCCCGCGTCATCGTTACAATTAAAATGAGCAGGAGAATGGCCGGGCCCCCCCCCCCCCTCGGGGGCTTTGAAGGGATGACAGACGTCTGTCTAACGGTGCTCCCCCTCCTTTCCCCGTGTATCATGGACAGCCCCCCCCCCCGCGTCATCGTTACAATTGCATTAGCCTAAGGGAAGACAACAACTCCCCAAGCCGAGGTAAAACATCATTACGAATTCTCGTGACGGATCCGTTCACCTATCGCGGACGCGACGGAAATTCAATCGTCCTTTCATTTTATTTATTTATTTATTTTTTTTAAACAGGACGCAATAATGTCTCACCTTTCAGTAAGACAATCAGGATACCACCACCAGCACCTAGCATGGTAATGACGTCACCTTTTATCCGCCATTTTGTGTGTGTGGGGGGGGGGTTGTGGAGGTATGGGGAGGGCCACCTAATGATATTTGCCCAACCCCCGCCATCTCATCATTGTTGCCCCATTGTCTCGCGCATCTTAAACAAACTATCAAGATGTATTTCTTCCTAATGCCTCCCGCTCACTCTCGAACTCGCCCATTCTTCCATGTTGTTCACGCGTGAATGGCTGCGGCAGCGAGATAGCAGTAAATGCCGGCACTCGTCTTGATTCGCTTCAAAAGAACCCCCCCCCCCCCAATCAGGAAATATTACCTCACTTTCAGTCGGACCAATCAGATTTATTTACATTTCATGTCACGTGATTTTTGTCATAACTACCCTTCACCCCACCCCACCCCCACACACACACACACCCACCCCAATCTGTCTTTTGTTAAAATTTTCATTGTATTTAATTGTGTTTCTAATCCTTACCATTCATCAAACAAAATTATTTTCTTCATCATTTTATCCGACTCAATTCCGATTTAAAATAATAATCATAAGATTAAAAGTAAGATTTTTCGCTTTGTTTTCTTTTTTAAGCTACGTGTTAAACAAAAGATTATTTATTGTCCATTATTGATTTCAAATTTTCACCTTTTTTTTTCTTTTTCTCTTTCTTTCGTTCTGGTCCCACCCCCCCACCCCCCCCTGTTGTTGAAGAAGTTGTCGAGGATAGTTTTAATAACCATGTTATTTCTTGTCATTATTATTTCAACGGGCGACAAATCGCCTCAGTTTTAATCAAATTAAAGGAAACGAGTGGGGAAAAGTCCTTTCTAGCTCGATTGTCTTTCATGGCATGGCCGCCCGCTCCAACAACCGGAAATTGCGTGGATTATGTCCCTCCGTTTAACGCGCATGCGCGTCCCGTTGCCATGGAGGGTCGCCGTTTCGAGTGTAGCCTAATCCGTCCCATTTGTGCCCATATGCAAACTTGGACCGGACCAGGACCAGGACCAGGACCAGGTTTACATCAGAGCTTTGCGTCGCTCTGGGCCCCGGTCTATGGAAAGGTTGTTGTGTTGTTAATTGCCTATGATGGCATGTTCACTGTGACATAAAACAAGTGCTGTCATCTCGTTATGTTACTTACCTTTTTTTAACAGGATTTTTTTTCTACAAGGTTGAATATTTTTTTATGAAATTAAATTGTCTGTATTAAATTGATGTTGCTTTAAGCTGTTTTTACAGTAACGTATTTTTATATAATGAAAAGTTTTAAATAATTCTAAGTAACTATTTCTTTCATTGAATTTCAATTTCTTTTTTCTTTTTCTTTTTTTGTTTTTGTAGTGCAATTGTTTACAAAAATAAAATGTTCTAATCTAAATGGCGTTTGAATGTAGCAATTTTTTTTTAATTAATAAAAAAGAAATTTAAAAATTTTTTTTTTTTTTTTTTTTTTTTTCTTTTTAAAATCACGTAAACTTATTTCTAAATTTAAATAACCCGTGCAAAAAGATAGGCTCATTGGCTTGAAAGAAATAGCCGACGATAAACCGTGCATGTCTGCAAGAGGACTTCTTCAGAAGACAATGCAATAATGAACAACGGATAAATTTTTATCAAAAATTAAATTTGTGCTCTTGAAGATCTAAAAAAATGACAATGTACCTCAAAGTTCTCAAAGTAGGTCAAAGTTATCAATGTATAGCTCAAAGTTCTCAATGTAGCTCAAAGTTCTCACTGTAGCTCAAAGTTATCAATGTATATTTCAAAGTTATCAATGTAGCTCAAAGTTATCAATGTAGCTCAAAGTTTTCACTATAGCTCAAAGTTCTCACTGTAGCTCAAAGTTATCAATGTATAGCTCAAAGTTCTCACTTTAGCTCAAAGTTCTCACTGTAGCTCAACGTTCTCATTGTAGCTCAAAGTTCTCACTGTATCTCAAAGTTCTCACTGTAGCTCAAAGTTCTCACTTCAGCTCAAAGTTCTCAATGTAGCTCAAAGTAGTTCTCACTGTAGCTCAAAGTTTTCACTATAGCTCAAAGTTCTCACTGTAGCTCAAAGTTCTCACTGTAGCTCAAAGTTCTCACTGTAGCTCAAAGTTCTCACTGTAGCTCAAGTTCTCAATGTAGCTCAAAGTTCTCACTGCAGCTCAAAGTTCTCACTGTAGCTCAAAGTTCTCACTGTAGCTCAAGTTCTCACTGTAGCTCAAAGTTCTCACTGTAGCTCAAAGTTCTCACTGTAGCTCAAGTTCTCACTGTAGCTCAAGTTCTCACTGTAGCTCAAGTTCTCACTGTAGCTCAAAGTTCTCACTGTAGCTCAAAGTTCTCACTGTAGCTCAAGTTCTCACTGTAGCTCAAAGTTCTCACTGTAGCTCAAAGTTCTCACTGTAGCTCAAAGTTCTCACTGTAGCTCAAAGTTCTCACTGTAGCTCAAGTTCTCACTGTAGCTCAAAGTTCTCACTGTAGCTCAAGTTCTCACTGTAGCTCAAAGTTCTCACTGTAGCTCAAAGTTCTCACTGTAGCTCAAAGTTCTCACTGTAGCTCAAGTTCTCACTGTAGCTCAAAGTTCTCACTGTAGCTCAAAGTTCTCACTGTAGCTCAAAGTTCTCACTGTAGCTCAAAGTTCTCACTGTAGCTCAAGTTCTCACTGTAGCTCAAAGTTCTCACTGTAGCTCAAAGTTCTCACTGTAGCTCAAAGTTCTCACTGTAGCTCAAAGTTCTCACTGTAGCTCAAGTTCTCACTGTAGCTCAAAGTTCTCACTGTAGCTCAAAGTTCTCACTGTAGCTCAAAGTTCTCACTGTAGCTCAAAGTTCTCACTGTAGCTCAAGTTCTCACTGTAGCTCAAAGTTCTCACTGTAGCTCAAGTTCTCACTGTAGCTCAAAGTTCTCACTGTAGCTCAAAGTTCTCACTGTAGCTCAAAGTTCAACGGGAAGTGCCGTAAACGTATATAGACTAGATCCGGTTTGTTTTAATCAGCACTAAATCCAAAGACTTTCAAAAAGGGCCGCGATCTGGTCATCTGGACCGGGTGAAAATGGGAGTTGGGCGGGGGGGGAGTATGGTGCCGACTTACATCAGGAGGCTCCAAGATTATTATTCAGATATGACCTTGGTAGTGAATCTAACGTTGAAATTCGATTTAAGTCCCAAAGACATGGTCACAGGTGACGCCAAAACTGTCTTTTTACTGGTCCTCACCGGGTTGGATTTGGTTTTGACAGATTGAGGAGCGCCACCTTCAGTCTTCTTCCCGGGTGTCGCATTTCTTAGGCACGCTTCTGTTCTTAGGCACGCCCCTGTTCTTAGACACGCCCTGTTCTTAGGCACGCCTCTGTTCTTAGGCCCGCCCCTGTTCTTAGGCACGACCCTGTTCTTAGGCACGGCCCTGTTCTTAGGCACGGCCCTGTTCTTAGGCACGGCGCTGTTCTTAGGCACGGCTCTGTTCTTAGGCACGGCCCTGGTCTTTGGCACGCCCCTGTTCTTGTCTAAAGAGACAAATTCTATTCG